GTAATGATGTAATTTGGCAGGTGTGTAATGATGTAATTTGGCAATTACATAATGATATATTTTGGCAGTTATGTAATGATGTAATTTGGCAGTTACACAATGGTATGATTTGGCAGTTATGTGATGATGTAATTTGGCAGTCGTGATATGATTTGGCAGTTATGAAATATAATTTGGCAGTTATGTAATGATACGATTTGGCAGTTGTATAATGAGATACTCATCCCCCATTTTGTGATCTGATGGGGTCATCCTCCATTTTTGCATAATGCTGATTTTTGAATAATGACCTGGTCTTTGGGACCCAACCATGTTGATAAGTGAGACGTGGGTGTAACAGATGCTCTCCCCTAAGTACCACATTCTGAGTCTGGACAGTGCAGAGCATATGCCAGAGGGGGCAACATGGAGGCTGGCTGCCAGACTCCTCTGGTCCTAATCCCAGTAAGGTCGCAACTAGAATTCCATTTCCCACTGGTACTCAGGACTCGTCATTCTGAAAACTCCTAATGTTGGGGCCTCTTCGGCAGTTTGACAGAATTCAGGCATTTGTTGTGATGTTTACTCTACATTTAAGAGGACAGCTATCAGCAAATACTACTAAAAGTGGGTTTACAGCAAAGGAGTGTGTCCATGTGAACAGCCACATGCCCAGGCCCAGCCGGAAGCAAAAACAGTAAAGAGCAAGGCTGACCTTTCTGGAAGACAAAAACTCCATACCCCTGGCCACTTGAAAACTGTACGAAATCAGATCTTCCATTGTGATGGGCTGCTTGTAGAAATCGTCAGAATCTGGAAAGGATTAAAACCGTAACTGTTTTGTAATGGCCCTTATTATCCCACCAAATCCCAGTTCATTGGAACAATGTTAGCAAAACATAAAACAAACCAACAAGTACATCAGAGTTCATTTCGAGAGTGTTTGGGTTTCAACATGAACACCAGAGACTTTTTCCAGGCCTCCAGCCTCTTTTACCCAAATATTCTGTGTGTGTGTATGTGTGTGTGGGGTGTGTGGGTGTGTATGTGTGAGAGAGAGATAATCTATTAAGACAAAAAAGCCTGAGGGGAGACAATTGTACAATTCCCTGTCAAAATTAGTAACTCTGTAAATAATCTTAATTCAAATCTTATCTCCTCAGGACATTACTCTCAAGTCTCCCACGGATGTTTATTTGGGTGATAAATAAGAAAAAAATGTCAGAGATGCACAGTATGTTGTAAAAATATCTCTGACTGCAGGACAGGAAGGAATGAGTACCTACCCTCCTCTTCCTCAGCATCACTCAGGCTTTTATCTTCCTGAAACCCAGAGCTGGCGAAGCTCTCACTGCTGGTGACGCTATCTAGTCTTGGTTTCTTGTCTTGCTCTAGGTCCGGCTCCAGTTTTGTGTTCTTAGGCTCCACGTGTAATGCTGCATCCTTCAAACAAACCAAGAAGGGTACAGGTGAAAGAGTGTTCAAGGACAGGATGGGGGACAGTGTTCCCTCCAGCCAGTGACGGCCCGAATCGGGAACGCATCGCTCCGCAAAATGAACCAGAGGCGGGCAGCAAGGACCCTCTGGTGGCCAGTCACCTGGCGACCCCCAGGCTCCGTAGGGTCTCTTCTGCTCTTGAATGAGCTTCTCAACAAGGACTCATGTAGGTGAAAGAAACGGTAATAGCAGCTGCTTTACTGAGAGCTGACTCTGGGTCAGTCAGTATATTGAAGAAATCAAGGTACATTTGTCTCAATCCTTCCGACAGTTGTTTGAAGTAGTTCTCATTTCTACGTGGAGAAAAGTCAAGTAGTCAAAGTCACACACAGCTAGTAAATGGTCAACCTTGAGCCAAGGTCTGACTCCCACGTCTGTGCCCTTAACCACTTCTCCACACCAAACACCATCTTGTGAAGGATGGTATGAATGTTAGCAACTGTGTCCTGTTCTCAGCCCAGGGTACTACTTTCCTTTTTTCCTACGTTTTTTTCACCTTCTCCAATGAGGTATGTAGGGAAAGTATTGGATGAAACACCTCATGGGACTGAGTTACTGGGTACGAAGGCTCAGGGCAATAGCCTCAGGGGATGTCTAAGTCAACTGTCATAACACAGCTCATAAAGACAATGTTCTAAATCCTACTTTGTTAAGTAGTGTCTTAAAAGTGTGCAAGTGGCCATCTAAGCTGTAAGTATTGGTCTCTTTCCGTCTGGAGCAAAGGAGAGCGAAACAAATCAAAGACTCAAGGAAACAATGAGTCTACTAATGACCCATGTGAACCACAGCCTTCTCCAGGCTGACACCAGAAGAACTAGGCAGTGCCCGGCTACCCCTACTGACCCCTCTGACCAGGGACACAATGGACAGTCCTGTTAGCACAGGATAAAAATGGAGAACAGAAACAAATTCATAATAAAAGACCAGACTGACTGGACCAATAAAGACTGGAGGAACCCCTGAGACTATCATTCTAAGACACCCTTTTTATCTGGAACTGAAGCCACTGCCAGAGATCACCTTTCAGCCAAATAATAAACTGGCCTATAAAATAATAACACCTGTGAGGAATGTGCTCCTTAGAACAGTAAATTATTTAAGACCAACTGGCAACATTTGCCCAAAAGCAAAGCTAGGAAGGCAAGGAAGGGCAAGGAAACGAGGGATGGAAGTGGGAGAGTGCCGACACACTCTGGGGATGGCAACAATGTCACGGAACAATCTGTTTATGAATTACCGAGTGCGGAACAAATTTGCTGTGTAAACTTTCACCTGAAATACAATAAAATGTTAATGTCAGCAAAAGGATCCCCAGTGCGTTGGGCTTCACTTCATAATCACTATGAGAAGTAGTAAGAGAAGTCACAGGTTACCAATTCCTCTGATTTCCGCCTTTAAAACACAGATCCCGTTTCATCCATACAAGGGTGGAAAAGGCTTTTCACCTTGGACTGCGCAGCCAAGTCTGGGTTTCTAATCTGGCTCTTCCACTAACCAGGTGACCTCCAGCAAGTCAATTTACTTTTCTGGATTTCATTTTTCTCATCTGCAAAGCTCTATCCTCCTATCATTTTATGACCCATAGAAAAGCAATTGTTGATTCGAGGTGTCCATTAGGAACCAGAGAAGATTCTTACTGTCTTCAGTAATTCATCTAGTAACTATGCCACTACTTAGTATCTCTCCGTGGCTTCGTGACCAGACCATGTGCCTCGCTGCAATTCTGCTGGATGGTAATACAGAAAAAGAGCTGAGGGGTACAGGGGCTCAATTATGTTATGGATTGAACTGTGTCACCACCCAGAAGTATGTCTTGTAAATCCTAACCTCTAGTTGTGGTTATAACCCACTTGGGAATGGGTCTTCTGTTGTGTTACTGAGGCAGAATCAGTGGAGGGAGTGTCTTGAGTGAACCTCTTTGTTGTTGTTGTTAGGTGCCATTGAGTTGACTCCAACTCCTAGTGACCCCGTGAACAAGAGAACAAAACACTGGTCCTGCACCATCCTCACAACCATTGCTATGCTTGAGCCCATTATTGCAGCCACGGTGTCAATCTGCCGCATTGAGGGTCCTCCCCTTTTTCACTGACCCTCCACTTCACCAGGTATGATATCCTTCTCTAGGGGCTGGTCCCTTCTGCCCATATGCCCAAAGAACCTGGATGAAATCTGGCATTCTCACTTCTAAGGAGCATTCCCACTGCACCTCTTCCAGGACACATTTTTTCATTCTTTTGGCAGTCCATGGTCTTTTCAGTATTCTCCCCCAACCCCACAATTCAAAGGCATCAATTCTTCAGTCTCCCTTATTATTGTTTAGCTTTCACATGGACACCTCGAATCAACAACTCCGAAAATGATGGGAAGATAGAGCTTTGAAGATGAGATGTCTCCCTTATTCATTGTCTAGCTTTCACATAGAGATGCAAACTGGATTCAGAAAAGGACGTGGAATAAGGGATATCATTGCAGATATCAGATGGATCTTGGCTCAAAGCAAAGAATACCAAAGCGAGAATGGCCAGGCTTGGTCTCACCTACTTTGGTCATATTGTAAGAAGAGACCATTTCCTGGACAAAGGTCTCACGCTTGTTAAGGCAGAGGGTCAACGAAAGAGGGGAAGGCCCTCAAGGAGATGGATTACACATTGGCTGCGGCAATGGGCTCAAATGTAGCAGGGATCATGGAGCTGGTGCAGGACCGGGCGGTGTTTTGTTCTGCTCTGCACAGGGTCGCTATGAATCGGAGACAATTGATGGCACCTAAGAACAACAACAACCTTTCACATGGACCTGAGGTGACTGACTGATTGACTGGGTAGGCACATTTTAGTCTTCAAAGTGGTATCTTTGTTCCCTATCACTTTCAAAAGGTCCTTCGGAGCTCATTTACCCAGTGCAATATGTCTAATTAACTGACTCCTGCTTCCATGGGTGTTGATTGTGGATCTAAGTAAAATGAAATCTTTGACAACTTCAATCTTTTCTCCATTTATTGTGATGTTGCTTAATGGTCCAGTTGAGTTAACCTCTTATAAGATGTAATAGGTGCAGATTAAGCAAGGAGAGATGGGTAAGAATGATGCCAACCCACAGTGATATCTCCAAGGAATCAGGAAAGCAGAAGCTGAAGTGACAAAGACTTTCCTCCAGGGCTGATAGGGAGAAAGCCTTCCCCTAGAGCTGGCACCTTGAATTCAAACTTGTAGGAGCTCTGGTGGCGAAGTGCTGCTTGCTAAAGCCACCTACTTGTGGTACTTCTGTTACAGCAGCACTAGAGAACTCAGGGGAGCTCTGGTGGCGCAGTGCCTAAGGCACTTGACTACTAACCAGAAGGCTGGTGGCTCAAACCTACCAGCCACTTCTCAGAAAGAAGGTTGGGCAATCTACTTCCATAGAGATACTGCCTCAGAAACCCAAGGAGGGGTCACTATGAGTCGGGATTGACTGGGCAGCAGTGAGTGAGAGAACTCAGACAAGCAGCATGCCTTGGTTCACCTGCAGGGTGTGGCAGTGCAAGGAGTAACCAGACTCCCTATCTTTTCTTGGCTTTTCCTAACAATGCCACAAAGCAGGAGGATCCTTCCACTAGAGGGCACAGTGCGAGCAAGCAGAGGATAGAAGGAGGAGGGAGCTTCAGCAGGGACACTGCGACAAACTCTGAGCAACAAGCTCTGAGTGCGTGGAAGGTGTGAGACTCCTGGTCCTTGGGAAAGACACCTTCCTGGGCGGCAGGACTCACAGTGTAAACAGCACCGCCACCCAGGTGCACCTGAGAGAAGGCAAAGAATAGAACTAATGCTTATTGTGCCTCCCTGAGGCAGTTATGGGAGCTCTGGTGGATAGTGCCTAAGGCAGCTGACTGCTAACCGCAAGGCTGGTGGTTCAAACCCACCAGCCACTCCTCGGAAGGAAGACTGGGCAGTCTACCGCCTCGGAAACCCAAGGAGGGGTCACTATGAGTTGGAATCGACTCAACGGCGGTGAGTTTGATTTTTGGAGGCAGTTAGATTTGCTGCTGCTCAGTTGGGGACTGGAATCTTAGTTTTCACAAGATCTTCCTGGGACAGAAGGCAGCAGGGAAAGAGTGCCACCAAGAGCTTGAGACAGACACGTTTTCTGCTCCATGGAAACTCCTCTCTGCGGGCAAGGCAGCCTTCTCGTGTCTCCCAGAAGTCACAGCCTGGGCGCCATCTCCACGGACCGCAACTCAGGTCCCTTTAGCCCCTCCCTGCCCCCCTAATCAACGGTATATTCAGCTTTGCTTATCAGTAACCATGTCTGTGAAATGAAAGTTAATTCACTGAACTTTCAAGACTCTAGCGGAATACAGGGCATTGATTATAAGCCACACTTAAGGATTCTGGTGAATTTGCTTTGAAAATAAAATCTCCCATTTCGGCTTTGCCTTTGGGTTTTGTGTTTCTTTCACCTTCTCTCTGAAATCCAGCCACAGGTTCTCCCTGAAAACACTAACCAGGCTACAGGGAGGTGAATCATTAAATATAGCCGCTGAAGGAAGCCCCGTCATCCAAACAGAGGACGCATGACCCGAATGTTCCATCCTGCCCAAGTCCCTGGGGTGTCCTGCTGCCTTAGTTCTTTCTGAAGCCTGTCCAAGATTTCAGGGCTGGAGGGAGTTTGTACTGTTCTCAGCTCCAGGGCGCCACTTTCCACTTTTTCTTGTGACTTTTTTTCACCTTGTTCACTGTGGTGCACAGAAAAGGCAGTGGATGGGAAGTCAATGGGACTGAGTTCTTTGTCTCCCTGACTTTACCTCTTGGTAGGTGGGTGTCCTTAAGCCAGTTGCTTGACTTCTCTGGGCATATCTATCAAGCGAGAATGTGACCCGGTTGATCACAAAGCTCTCTCTCAGCTTCAAGAGTCTATTTATTTGAGGGCATGGCTTAAAACTGGGGAAAATACGTCCTTGCGTACATACTGCCAGGCTCATCAAAGGCTGTGTCTTTGGTGAGATTACAATTTGAGACAGGAAAGAAAAGAGCAGCTGTCTTTAGATGTGTGCCACATGAAGACTGTTGCTCCCGTGACAGAGACAGTATCTTTATTGGATCTCGGACCCTGGATCCATCATACATATCAATGGGCTTGCCCAATCTTTCCATCCCGGTGGGTCAGTAATGATGACAATGATGGTTAACATTTATTGCGTGCTTAGCTGCAAGCATTAGGTTCTTCCAACCACCCAGTGAGGTGGGCTTTGTTATGAGCTCCATTGAATCAATGAGGAAAGTGAAGCTTAAAAGACATTGAACACTTTGCTCAAGGTCCTAGATTTCCTGAGCAGTAGACAGAATTTAAACCCATGAAGTCTGATTCTGGAGTCTGAGAGCTTCACCATTATAAAACACGGCCTCACCACCAACGCCGCTGAGTACCAGTTAATAATGCTGTACTGGGGCCTCTTGGACTTCTCCAGCTCAGAGAACACAGCATTCATGCCGTAGGTTGCACTGGCAAATTTTACAAAATTCTTTCTCCTCCATTCAATGATCTCCTTTGAGTCTTGTCGGCCTTCAGGTCTTGCTGACCCGTAAGTTCCTGTTAATACCCGTTTTATTTCGGCAGGTGATGCTGGTTCAGAAGTGTGCGCAGGAGACAGATGGGTGGCGAGGGTGTGAGGAAGTGAGGGAAAGGACAGTAGGAGGAAAAGAAAGGGTTCCTCGCTTAGGCCCATCTCTGGCCTGTTGTTGATTACACAAGGCACCCAGGTGATTGAGTCTTAATTCCTCTAAACTAAAAAATGGAGACAATTGTATATGTTATTACCTTCCTTCAAGAAACAAGCAATTAGTGTATATGTCTCTGCGTGTATATATACATATATATGTATATATGGGCACATATATGAATATATAAGTGTACATATATGTATGTACACACACACAGAGGGGGGCAAAGAGAAATAAACTTATCAAGATGATTTAATAGGTTCTGAGATCAAGAAAACCCAAACTCACTGCCATCGGTTGGATTTCGACTCCTAGCGACTCCCATTGGGTTTCCAAGGCTGTAAATCGTTATGGAAGCAGATTGCTTCATCTTTCTTCCATGGAGCGACTAGTGAGTTCAAACCACTGACCTTTTGTTTAGCAGCCAAATGCCTTAAACACTACACCACCAGAGCTCCTTAGGTATTGAGACAGATGGCTGATAAACACTAACACCCCAACTGTGACTGCAGACACTGGGATCAAAAGATTCTCCATGCAGATCAGCATGGAAAGAAATACTGGGAAAAGGATGAAAAAGCATATATGGAGTTTGAAATCTATTTGCTAACAGAGAAAATGTTAGTTTCGCTTGCTTTCTGCTACAAGAGCCTAAATGGAAACTCCTTGGTGTCCTTAAAAAATGCCAACCCTTAAATTACTTACCTTGTTTAGGAAGAACAAGTCCCGTTTGCTCTTGAGGTAGTTGGATAGGTTTCCATACTTGCAGTATTCAACGATCACCATCAGAGGCCCTGCAGCCAAAAGAGTGCATGTCCAGTTACCCCAAGCTAGCCAGTCATTTGCCTGCTTGAGGAAACTCAAGCCACCTGTCTTTATGATATACGGTGGGGAGGGGAGAGCTAGGGATGCCACTTAGGGCTGAGAGGCTCATGAATGGGCTGGCTTTTTCCATGCAACTCGAGAAGACTATAAAATACAAAAATAAAAACACTAAAGAAATGGGAGCTCTGGTAGCATAGTGGCTAAGGCACTTGACTGCTAACCAGAAAGCTGGCGGTTCAAAGCCACCAGCCACTCCTGGGAAGGAAGATGGGGCAATCTACTTCTGTAGTGATACGGCCTCGGAAACCCAAGGAGGGGTCGCTATGAGTCGGGGTCCAATAACAACAACAACAAAGAAATGGGAAACTCTGTGTGTGTGTGTGTGTGTGTAGGGGAGGGCAGAGGAAAAAAAAAGGAGTAGAAGGAAAAGGGGAGAAAGAACTTTTAGGAGGGGAGGGGCAGAAGCCAGGTCTCCTTACTGTAACTACCAGCGACCCACTCTCTCTGCCTCTCAGTCAGACCCCTGGTGCAGAGGGGCCTCTGGTCATTGTCCCATCAGCCCTGGGACTGTCAAACAGCTCCTCCCGTCCTGCCCAGTGCAGAGAACAAGTTGGTCCTGTTTGGGCCTCCTCTCCCCAGCGGCACGGCTGCCTTGGGGAGTCTGCCCAGGGTTCAGGCGTGTGACAGGGTCTAAAGCTGACAGGGTCCAGACCCATGACCGGGCCCTGATAAAACTTCATGGAGAAAGAAGTTTGAATTTCCTACAATTTTTGTATGTCATGAAATACTCTTTTGATTTTTTTCACCAACTAAAAATCTCAAACCATTGGAAGCGCACGGGCTAGTTTGCTGACTCCCGGTCTAAAGGAAGCGAGAGGGTTGGGAGGAAGTCCCAGCCACACTATGGGTCGCATGAAGCGCCCTGCACTCCTTTCTCCTTCCGGGTCGTCAGCCATCCTGCGGTCTGGCTGAAGGGTCTCGGTCCCGGCCCCGGGCTCCCACGACACGCGGCCTCCCATCGGTGGACTGGAACACTAGAACTACAGCACGAAGGACAACTTCCGGGCCAAACGGGCCTGCCCCGGAGCTGCTTCCCAAGGCGCCCGCCCTGGGGCATGCCGAGAGTTGTGAAGGGAGCGCGCACCAGCTGTGAGCTTGTGGTACTAAAAGACTTGGGCGCCCTAGTTCATCTCTAAGGTTCATAAGGGCCGGGACCTTTCCAGTGGAGTGATTATGTATTTTTAGTATGGTTTTGTTGATTTGAAAGTGAGTTTTAGAAATCTTGATAGCACCCCGTCTTGCAGAGGTCGCCTGTCTCCCCAGGGAGGAGGAGTTATCGTCTGGGGAGCCTTCCTCCTGACCCCCCTACACGGAGCCCAGAGAAGAGGGTTGTCTGATTAGCCCTCGGCAGTTTTACAGATGCAAAACTGAGGCAAAGGAAGGAGGTTGCCAAAGCACTGAACTTGAGAAAGGGCTTATACTTGCCAATACTCAAGGAATGAGGGAGAAGCAGGCAGGGCTGCGTCTAGGTTCCTAGGACTTTATCTCTGGCCTCCTTAGCCCTTTGTGTCTGTCTGGTGTCTGTCTGTCTCTCTCTCTGTCCCTCTCAGCACTGCTCCTCCTACTAGATATGTCTTCTCCAACTTCCCCTCATCCCTGCTGCCTTCTGTGAGAGCTGGGAAAACACTGGTATGCACGTGTGGTCAGTGCTTTCCTTTCTGGAGCAGCTACACCCAAGGATAACCTGCCCCCTGCCCCCTTGGGTAAGGCCTGTGTGCATGGTGGGGGTATGAGAAGCTGTCCCCCACATCACCTCCTCCTGGGATCCTCCCAGTCGTGAGTCACTCCTCTGGGTGAGGCTACAAGAATGTCAACCTTGTAGGTTTAGCTCTGGTCACACTCCCTCAAAGTCATCCTGAGAGAAATACATCCCTTCCCCGCCCTCCACACATGGCTTAAAGCCTGGGGAAAGAGGTCCAGAAGGGAGGTCTAAAAGGGACGCCTTCTCTTCAGACCCTTAAGTTAACTATACAGAGAAGGCATTTCTAGAATGGGCGAGTCAGTGACCACCATTAGTGGACAAACTGTTTCCTCTAGAGCTATGGTGAGACCATTCTCTTGGAGATAAGGAGGAACAGAGGTGAAGAGATGGACCTTCAGGTCCGAGAACTCCAGCGTGTGCTTGGGGAGATGGAGGAGGGCCCCCCCATTCTCATTTACCTCCTTGCTTGGTGCAGGCTCCCAGCAGGTTGACCACATTCAGATGGTGGCCGATGTGAGTCAAGATCTTGAGCTCAGTCATCAGAGCTTTGTACTCGCTGGCCGTGGCCCCCTCTGTGTGAGAAGCAAGGAAGAATCAGGGCGACAGGACAATAGGGCTCCTTCCGCCGGAGGCGGCATTCCTGCCCTCCTTGTTTGTCAGTGCTCAGCCGGTTGCTTCGTTAACTTCCCCACATTCTACAGAAAGGCTGTCTGCAGACTGTTTTCATTACTCCCACCCTCCTAAGCCAACATCCTTTTGATTACAGTGAGGCTCAGAGAGGTGGTGGGGTTAGTCACTGGACATTTCCTCTTAGTGGGCCTAGTCCTGTCCAGCAATGTGCTGACTCAGAGCTGGACACCTTGAGAAACGGCCTTCCAGAAGTCTCCCTCCTGGCACAATGGGTGCACCAAGAACTCGCCAGTAGGGTGTGCTGTACACCTCCCCTCTTTTTCTCATGCTCTCCTCTTTGGGGGCCCACAAAAAGGGAGCACAAGGGGCCTGCCAGGTCGGAGTGGCCACTTCTGTAAACATCTTTGCAATGTGCCATTTTCACCCTGTAACCTTTTCCTCCCTGGAGTCCAAGGGTTATCTTGGGTTGTGAAGATCCATGGGCATCTGCCTTTAGCTACATTTTCAGAGATAAGCAACATCAGTCCAAGAATGAGCAGAGTCTACAGTTTGTTCTATCCGTTTGCTCTTACTGGTTAATTCCTAAGTCACTTAAAATTTTAAAAATCTTTTTTTAGACAACGAGAATGAGGACACATTGTGAAAAATGTAACCGATGTCACTGACTCATTTTGTAGAAATCATTCAATGGGAACCTCATCTGCTGTGTAAACGTTCACCTTAAACACAATAAAAGTTTATTTAAAAAAAAAATTTTTAGACTATAAAAATAATGTAATTGATATAAACTTGATGTAAAATATTCCAATGATATGATGTAAATAGAATACAAAGGAAAAGCCACCTCAGCCCACTACAGGTAATCACTGTTAATTTCAGATCTTTTTCTATGAATTTATAAATATATTGTTGTTGTTGTTGTTGTTATGTGCCATCGAGTCAAACCCGACTCAAAGCGACCCCTCCTTGGGTTTCCGAGGCAGTATCACTACGGAAGTAGGATTGCCTAACCTTCTTTCCGATATAAATATATATACCCAATCAAAGGTCTACTCTTTGGTTTACATAAATGAGATCATATATATGTGTGTGTGTGTGTGTGTATGATATATAATTTATATATGTATTTATAGCTCTGGTTAAGAAATTTGGCTAACCAGAAGGTTGGCAGTTTGAACCGCTACCTGTTCTGAAAGATGTGGCAGTCTGCTTCTGTAAAAATGACAGCCCTGGAAACCCTCTGGGGCAGTTCCACTCTGTCCTCTAGGGGCGCTGTGAGTCAGAATAGACTCCACGGCACTGGGTGTGGCTTGGGCTTTGCTTCTGTGAAGATTGACAGCCTTGGAAACCCTCTGGGGCAGTTCCACTCTGTCCTCTAGGGGCGCTGTGAGTCAGAATAGACTCCACAGCAGTGGGTGTGGTTTGGGCTTTGCTTCTGTGAAGATTGACAGCCTTGGAAACCCTGTGGGGCAGTTCCACTCTGT